ATCTGAAGCAGCTGTTCTACCTGCAGCGGCGGCGCTTTGGTGAGCCGGAGGTCCCATGTGGCTGGAAGGCGTCACCCTGGCGATACCGCTGCACAAACGCTTCTCCATCTTCATCTCCCTGCTGAGGAAACACACAAGAAGCTCCGCTCAGATCTCTGATTAAAATAATGGGGATTGTGATTTTTGCTGTAATGAAGCAGCCAAACGACAGAACTGGGCTGGAATCAAACCTCAGGCGCTGCTGGTAAGTTTAAGACAACGTTTAGCAACTTCCAGACTTCATAAAAGATTTGAAAGAGGCTCTAGTTCAATTAAAAATCAGATCATGTGAAGCCTTTTTACTTATTTCTTCCTGCAACAAAAAAACAAACAAATTCCTGCAACTGAAAATGTTGTGTTTTACAGTGAAAAGTGTGTTATAACCGGATGTGTCGTTGATTTGCGTATCTTTGCACGAGGAGCAAACGGTTCATGTGAATGTTTTGTTCATGAATCAACTAAAAATAATCTGGAAAAAAACAAAGTTAAACAGCAGCCGATGTGTTTGAACGACCACCGGGGGGCGACATTGTCCACAGATGCTTGCTGTATCACACACACACACATACACACACACACACACACACACAGAGTCACCTGCCTCATGGAAACCTGTCGATGGCGAATGGAAACACAATCAGGAGATAACAGCAGCAGGTTCACGTGTGCCTGTAGCATGTCCAGGTCTGTGTTTTTCTGTTTTTGCACGACTTTGTGCCGGTTAAGAACATCTTATCTGTGCGGCCGGTTAAACATTCACCCTATACGGGCCGCTGGCGCAGGATATTTACTGTGGAAATCAGCTGCCGATCAGTGTCTCTGTCAATTGTTAATGAGCCATCAGCCGAGAAAACCTCATTTTAAAGTCGCTTGTATTCATGTTTTCACACATCGGAAAGTCTTGTTGTGTTACTCTTTTACTTGACAGCCACTTATCTTCACTGAAATGCACCAAAATGTGAGAATTAATTCACAAAATGGCAGCAAAACACTACATTCAGTGTGTAATTTAGGTGCTAGTCGTGATTTAAGACAGGTTTGTGGTTTTAGAACAAACTCTGAGACGGATTTCTGAGTGATTTGTTCAAAATTTGCTCTCACGATTTTCTCCAGATGTTCTGGCAGCAACAAAATGACTTTAACCTCTTGTGAACCCTCTGAACTCCGAGCAGTTTCTGGAAGTTTTTGCTCCATTTTTACTCACTGTGAGCTCATTTTTCACTGCAATATAAAATCCTGCACCTCTATGGAGACAAGACAACCACGACTAGAAGAAGAGAGAACTCAGAAATGTCTTTTGTGCAGGACGACACAGTTAGAATGGTGTTAATACTAATAAAGAAAAGAAAAGAAAAGAAAAGAAAAGAAAGAAGTTGAATTGATTTGACTACTGCCCACTGGCAAAAACACTGGAGGCTTTAATTAGTGTAGGTGTTTTACTGGTTACATGTTTAATTAGTTTTTTATGCACGTCTCTTGCCGAGGACTGCAGAATTTTTATGTCTTTTAAAAGTCTGTTCATTGCAAACATTTTATTTTGGGGAAAAACTTTAAACCGGACATGCAGAATTTAGTAATTTTCATCACATTACGATTCTACAATGTCACGAGCTTAGATTAGATCAGGGTTTTCAACAGACCTGATTAGTTCAAGAATCATTGGAAAGTTAGAAATTCAAAGATGGTTCCTATTTTTACAGTTTCTCATAAATGTTGTCATTTTCACTGATTTCTTGCCTCTAATCTGTTCTGTGTAAACACTGCCTGCAGTTCAGCTGAAACATCCCAGAATTTTTGTCACTAGATTTTCAGTCGCAGGTCAGTCAGTCACGGCTTCTCGGTTGCAGCAAGAAGAGCAGAATTTTTATTTTTTTACAGAATCTGGTTACTGCATATTAGTTATTTTTGACAAATTTTTAGACAAGATTTTAATATAACATGTCTTGATTTTTAAGTTTAGATTTGGTTGTTTTTCTTGATCAAACCCAAAGTAATACACAATTAATTCAAAGACTACCAGGAAGTTGAAATTTGGACAAATTTTCTAGTTTTAACAGCATTTTGCTGAGAAAAATTGTGGAATTTGGGTGATTTTTAAACTAATAATAACATGCCTTTTTTGGGGCTCAGAGGGTTTTGAGGGACCAAAACTGAAAATAATCAGTTTGTGTTATAACCAAGTGTGTATCTAGATTGTGTAGATTTTTAGGTTAATTAAAATATTTTGTTCATGCTACAATAAAAATATTTTGTGGAATTAAAAAAGGCTGTGAGTGTGTTTAATCTGCAGCTCACGTACTCGGCTGACTTCTGTAGCTCCAGCTGGGTCTTCAGTTTCTTCTTAGCTCCTTGGGTCAGGTCGTACTTGTTCAGGTCCTCCTCCGTCAGCGCTAAAAACTGTCATTTATACAAGCAGACAGATTCAGAAACAGGTTTATTTATGTACATGACTACAGCCGGACAGACTGATTCAGTGGGTGGTTTATCTAAACCCACCTCCTCCATGGTGAGCTGCTTGAAGACGGGGTAATACTTGTGCAGCCGCAGCCTGCGGAGCCAGTCCAGGATGCCGTTCTGCTCCGGAGCGCCGGGCTGGGACTGGGATGGCGGCTGTGGGTGGGACTGGGATCGGGAATGTGACTGGGAATGGGACAGGTGCAGGGGCTGAGGCTGCGTACTGGGCTGGCTGCTGGTTTGCGGGTGGAGGTGGTGCTGGGAGTACTGCTGGGGGTGAGACTGGGAGGAGGCGGGCAGGGACGGTCCTGGGGGAGGCAGGGAGGAGAGCTGGGGGGAGTGCTGGGGAGGCGGGAGGGAGGCGAGGTGAGGAGTGGAGCGAGTGGAGACGGAGCTGTGGGTGCTGACGACGGGCTGGACGCTGGCCACTCGGTACACCGCCCTGAAAGAGGAGGAGGAGGGACAAATCTGACTGTTACCACAATGATTATAATAATAACGCTACTCTGAACTATGAAAAAGGTCTTCTGGAGGAAAGCTCTGTGGTCAGATGAAACAAAACTGAGCTATTTAGCCACATTAACCAGATAACAAGAGGTCTTTAACCCTAAGAACACCAAATCTACCCTCAAGCACGGTGGTGGCAGCATCATGCTCTGGGGCTCACGTTGAAATTTGAGGCTATGTTTGAACGACAATATCTCAGGAACTGTTTAAGATAAAAGCCTGAAATACTCACTGTGCTTTCTCACTGTAACACAGATTTGGAATCTGTAATATTGGACAAGTGGATCCAATAGTCTCTGATTATGGGTGAGTTGAAATGTGAAAAAACTGATAGCATCATGAAAAGTTCCCGTCTTTGAGCACACACTGACCAAAATAAATCACAGCGCAGAAGTCAACTGGTGAAGTTTTCTGAACAGTATGTCGCTGCATGCCACAATAATACAAAACAAAACATTTAAAATGCTTTTTCATATGAAACACTCTGTAACAAAATTAAAAGAAAGTGACTTCCGTTGAACTTTCATATCAAACTGAGCAGGTATGACGAACTTTATTTTTTTCACATGTCAGCTTGTGCATAATAAGAGACTATTTGATCTACTTGCTCAATATTACAGATTCTCAAACACTGACATGATGAGAAACAACAGTCAAAATTCCAAGCTTGTATCTAGAATAGTTCCCGAGATGCTGTCGTTCAAACATAGTTTACAATTTCAATGCTTAGAAAAACTTGCCAGGAACATGTAAAGGAATACATGGAGTTACAGGAATCTAGCTGGGATGTAGTGAAAGCAGGGTTCAAAGTTTCCAAATTATATGTGCATAAAAAGAATCACACTTGACCTGGATTCTTGGTTTTAATGCAGTAAAATGAGAGAACGGCCAGAATCTTACCTGTTGGCTCCTCTGTACTGCACCATACAGCCGAGATCTGTAAAAACATAAAAACCTTCATCATCATCATCATTAGCATCATCATCATCACCATCATCATCATCATCGTCATCGTCACCATCATCATCATCATCATCATCGACAAGCAGTTTCAAACAAGAGTAACAAAAAGCTGGAGGCTAACTAAGGATGCACAGCATGCTCTGAGCTAAATGCTAACATCCTAGCATCCTAGCTTGCTCACAGCGACGATGCTAAGATGCTGTGTAGCAGGTTTACCTTTTACCGTGGTAACCGTCGTAGTTTAACTCGCTAATATTTGCTCCTCATCAACAGTCATGAACAAAACTTTACACACACTTGTAAACACCATGTACATCATGGCAGTCTTGAGTTTCCAACAACTTCAACAAGTCAAAACTCTTTATGATGGAATCCCTAAAACACCTGCATTTGTGTTTCAAAAAATAATCCTGCCTTTTGATAGATCTTCTGGGTCATAAACATACATGCAGCAACTTGAATCATTAGTCTTGGTGAAGCAGAGAGTTGTATAAATCAGATTTTCTTGGTGGCATGACCTCTAAACTTCTCGTGAGTGATGACGATCGACGGCAGCTGATGACTCCTCTGAGCCGATGTAAATATGGTTCCTTTGATACACTCACTGGACTCAGCCGCAAACACTACAGCGGGAAAGTCTGAGGAGCTCAGAAAAGATCTGAAGAAGTGAATGATTAACTTGAACAAGTCAGGAGAGTGACTCCATTTTAAAGCAGCTGTGGATCCCCACATCAACTGTGTAGGTATAAAGTTCATGGTACAGTAATGTCGCTGCCATGATCAGGAGGAAAACACCAACTGGTCAGGATGGTCAAGAGTCAACCAGGAATCAGCACAAAGCAGATCTGAATCAATCAGAAGCTGCTGGACCACAGCTGTCAGTGTCCACAGTAGAAGTTCTCTAGAACCAGAACCTTAAAGCCCAACTGAAGTTTGGTGTTAATTTGGCCACAATGACCAGATATATGTTTGGTGGAGAGAAGGTGAGGCCTTTAACCCCAACAGCACCAAACCTACAGTCAAGCATGGGAGTGGCAGTATCATGCTCTGGGGCTCACACTGAAATCTGATGTTTGAATGACGACATCTCAGGAACTATTAAAGATAAAAGCTTGACATTTTCACTGCTATTTCTCATCATGTCGTTGAATCAGAATCTGCAAGACTGGACAAGTAGCTCAAACAATCTCTGATTATGGGTGAGTTGAAGTATGAAAAACACTGACTTCTTGAGAGGTTCCACCTTTGAGCGCACATTAACTAAAATAAAAATACACTGAAGAAGTCAACTGGTGAGGTTTTCTGAGCCATATTTAGTTGCAAGCCACAATAATGCAAAAACACAAAATAGAGTACTGCGGTTTACATTTGTTGAACCATTCTATCTTCCAATATTTCTGTTTTTGTGGTACAACTTGTCACACCTGCTCAATCAGTTATAAAAGTTCAACTAAAATAATGTAAGT